TGAAAACACATTCTAGCATTGAAAAAGTTAAGTTTTTAAGAAATTGGAAAAGTGGTTTGTTTACCATTTTCATTACCCTTAGAGTTAGAGATCTATTTTTGTGGCACTGACATTCCATTAAAAATAGTGGCATCACCATGGGGTTGTTAGGAGAATGAGATTTTTGTGTGTAATTTCCACAGAAGTGGTTAGTTATGTGACATTTTTTTCCCTTTTAGTTTCAGTGCTCCAACATTTATAATACATAATACTTAAATGTGAGGAGATTATAAAGAGTATAATCTTCCTTTTACACAGAAACAAAGAGAAAGAGCCTTTATAGCAAAATTTATTCTGCCTTTGGCTATGAGGAGAATTGTGTTTTACGTTGGAAATGTAAACATTTTAAGTCATGGAAAGACATCATTAAGTTTTTCTACTTTTACTTGCAGATGTAACTTACTTAAAACAGTAGATTTGTGACTAGGAGGTTATATGTAAGTAGAATGCTTGTAAGTGCTACCTTATATAGGGGAACTGTTAGGGAAAGGATTTACATGGTCAGTATTCTTAGTAAAATGTAAATTCTTGTATTCAAAACATTTAACAGTCTCTGAATATGCCCTTTTGTTTTAATTTGAATTTACCCTGGATTTCTTAAAGTGAGCCTAGTCAGCTTAGCTGATTAAAAAAAAAAGGTTTATCCCTGAAATTAAGTGAACAGTTCACTTAACCAGGGGAGATGGTCCTGGTTTTCAGGGGAGACGGTCCTCGTTTTCATCAGGTCCTAAAAGGTGGTTCTTGACTCAGTCCATAAATTAAGGCTAAAGAATTGCTAGATGAGGGTATGCTGGTGGTGATACCACAGCTCTGAGTTCTTCCCTCTTGGGTGAACCCACTCTGCACTGCTTTCTGCAGCTGTCTTGCACATCAGGCCAGAGCATTGTATTCTGCATGGAGGACAAGATTAGTAGGTTGCATTGTCTTTTATTGGAGGAACTGGATGCTTTCATCCTGTGTTACAATTAGGCAGTCTGGCTGCTGTACTAGGTCCAATATTGTCTCATCTGAACTTATGGTGAGACATCTGGCACCTGTGAATGTGACCTTATTCGGAAATGGGGTCTTTATAGATGTAGTTCAGTGAAGATAAGATCATACTAGATTAGGGCTCACCCTAATCCAGTGGCTGGTGTCCTTAAGAGGGGAAGTTCGATAACAGACATACAGGGAGAATGCCGTGTGATGATGGATGCAAAGACTGGAGCAATGCATCTACAAGCTAAGGAATGCCAAGGATTGTTGACAACCACCAGAAGCTAAGTAGAGTCAAGGAGGAATTCCCTAGAACCTTTGGAGGAAGTGTAGCCCTGCCAATAGCTTGATTTCAGACTTAGCCTCCAGAACTGACAGAGAATACATTTCTGTTGTTTTAGGCCACCCAGTTTGTAGTACTCTGTTATAGCAGCTCTAGAAAATGAATACAGCTGCTAATAATATAACCTGTATCCCCTTCCAAAAAACAGACAAATCAGGAGGTTACTTTTTTTTCCCACAACTAAAAGAAGCCCATAGGTAGACAGTCTAAACAGGGACAGTGGCTCCATGATGTGTTCCAGGTGCCTCCTTAAACTGTGATCCCTATCACAACTTTTGCCTTCACCACCACTCCCCTTCTCAACTTACCCCTGCAAGCACCACCACTTCTACTCTTGAATAATAGATGGATCTGTGAGAGGCTCACAGCAAAACAGGGCATGACTAGGACTTCCTGGTTCACAGGTTTTTCAGGCAATGGGGCCAAAATGATTTGGGAAGATCTTGTGCAGATACTTCTGTATTGGGATGATAAATCTATGTCCCTAAACTCACCTGTGCAGAAATTGTGCTCTAAAACTTCATCCCCACCAATGATAATCAAAGGCCTTGAACTTGCCAGTTAAAGGCAACTCAGTCTCTTATAGACTAACCATTTTTTTCTGAGCAAGTGCCCACACTTAGTTTCTCTACTCTGTCTCTTCTCCCTGCCAAGATGGTGCCAGGGTTCTGGAATGGGCTCACATGTCTCTTTGGTGTTTGCAGAAGAGCTTCTGAGTGTCTTCTAGGTCCTTGCCTCTAAAGAGAGCTTTGTGTTCCTGTACATTTCTGGGTTTCATTTTCCACTAGAGCCACTGACTGCCCTGTATGCCCATAGACTGCGACCTAAAGGCCGTTGGTCCTTGTTGCTGCTGGCCATGGGCCCCGCCATTACACGGGGGCTGAAGCCAGGCAATTTGGCCACATCTTCTTGTTTTTTAGGATGTGTTCCACGGCAGACTATCAAAGGGGCAAGCAGGAGACAAAGGTCTAGTTAGGACAGCAGCAGAGCTTACATCGGTTTCTGCAGATTCCCCCTTTGTGCTGGCCTCTGCCCTGTGGGTATGACCTCCAGGGGCACTTTCTTTAGTTCCTTGAACCCAAGAAGCCCCCTATTCTTCCACCAAATATCCTGATGCTCCTGACTCCACTTGCTGAGCTTCCTTTGGGGCCCTGGGAGCAGTCTCCTTGCTGCCCCCACCTACCCAGTAGGAGCTGGGAAACCTGAGCCCACCTTTCAGCACGGCAGGGACAAAATCCATTTCCCTGTCCAAGCATCCAGTGCTATGTGCCATGCTGCCTCTGCCAGCCCTCAGGCCCTCACAGCTCAACCTGAAAAGCCATAGCAGTCCTGCAAACAAAGTCATCTTTCTCAATCCTCTAAAACAGGGGTTCCCGCTCCTGGGTCATGCACCAGTACCGGTCCGTGGCCTGTTAGGAACTGGACTGCACAGCAGGAGGTGAGGAGCACGTGAGCCAGCATTACCACCTGAGCTCTACCTCCTGTCACATCAGAGGCAGCATTAGATTCTGGTAGGATCACAACCCTATTGTGAACTGTGCATGCGAGGGATCAGGGTTGTGTGCTCCTTGTGAGACTCTAGTACCTGATGATCTGAGGTGGAACAGTTTCATCGCAAAACCATTTCCCCCACCATTTGTGGAAAAAAATGTGTTCCGTGAAACCAGTCTCTGGTACCAAAAAGGTTGGGGACTGCTGCTCTAAAAGACCTACAGAATTGGTTCTTGTGAATTTTCTGCAGTTACTTATTGTTAATGTCTTGTTGAGTGGATTCTATTTTGTTTTTTTATTGAGAGAGAACAAATTGTTACAGGCTTTTAAGGAAACCAAAAACATTTGCTCTCTGATTACATCTGTCATTCCATTCCCATTCAGCTTGCTTTCTTGTTTTGAAGCAGGCCATTCTAATAGCCAAAACTACAGTCAAGTTTTCTCAATAAGTAAAAGCTGTTGCTTTTCTGCTACAGTATGTAAGAAGACTTATCACCCTGGTTTATGAATTTAGTCTTACTGAAGATTCTAATAAATTATCAGGCTGGAGGCATGTTGATGGTATCAGTCTTTGCCCTGTCCCTTACTGGAAATACTTTTTGGAAATATTTAGAATAGTCGTGTTTTGATATGCAAGCTCCAAGCATGTTTTTTCATGTTCATTTATTAATTCATTCCATCAGTCCGTAAATACTTATCGTGTACCTGTAATGCACCAGGCATTTATTCTGAGGGCTAGAAATAAAGCTCTGAGCAAGAACACCATGGAGTTTATATCCTGTTAGGGGGAGATTGACAGTGAATAAACCAGCAAATACATGCATCAGACAGTGACAAGTGCTTATAAATACAGTAAAACAGATGGTATGGTAGAGACTGGAGAGTCCTTTAGGGGCTTCTTTAGTCTGGGTGGGCAAGAAGGCTGCTCTGAGGAGACAACACTGAAGCAGAAAGTTGAACAATAAAGAGAAGCCTGTGTGCATAGATTTGGAGCAAGAGCCCCCAGGCCAAGGGCACAGTGCACTGACCCTGCCTCTGCTAGTGCAGGGCATTGAGCAAGTGAGGAGTGGTATATTAGCCCTAGTAGCTATACGGAGCCAAGCATGGAATCCAGGAGTCCTGTAGCAACTGCAACAATCTTAAGTGAGTGACTAAGAATGTAGCATGGAAGACATTATAAGTGGGGCATTTTTTTACACCACAAAGAATAAGAAAGCAGATGTTAATGGAGGGTGAACATACTCACTGTAGTGATTCTCAAATTGGTGTATCTATCAGCATGTTTTTAAAAATGTGTTTTAATTGTGCTCTCCTCCCTTCCTCCACCAACACATTCTCTTGTACATCCCCAGGAAACTAGGCTTTCCTCCCAATCCCAGCTCCTTGTGAGAATCCTGCCTCAGAATGCCACAGTTCCTGCTAGAGCTGTGTGCATCCTGCAGGCAGATGAAAGCAAGGAAGGCTAAGGACCACTGAGTGTTTAACATACCGACAGGCAAGCAACTCAGTGCAGTGCTGAGCCTGATGGTCAGAAGCTGGCTTGGTGGGTTCCTCAGATCAGGTCTCGAGGAAAGACTTCTCATGTGGCGGCTAAGTCTCCTAGAGGAGACTCCATAGACATTGTCATCTAATGACAACCTGTAGTGCCATGAGTTTGGCCTCTCATTTTTACTATCATGTTGAAATGGCAACATGTTTTATGTTAAAAATCCTTAAAGACAGTTTCTTTATTAATTTCAGTCACCTGGAAGGAATTGGTCTTTAGAGAGAGGTGAGGTAACATCATTGACCCATGAGGCTATATAGGAAGCTGAAAAGCTTCCTCCTAGAGATTAGATGAATGGCCCAGGCTGTCGGCCACATCATGTCAGCAAGAGGTACCCAGATCTCTTGTTGGAAGTGAAGACACATCTGTCATGATGAGAGCACATTCATGGAATGTTGGAGGGGAGGCTGTGTGTACCAGGCCTAGTGCTGCCCTCTCTACTCAACGCTGCAGCTTCCCCATCTGCAGTTTGCAGAGCATCCTTTGTGGGACTAGTTGCTGTGAGATTTGGCAGAAAACTTCCCAAGCCTGTCTGAAGTTACGGTGTGGCAGCAGGTAGGTTATGCTCGGAGCATTGGTTATGAAATGTCATTCTTCTATTTTCAGTAAATATTCAAGATGTGATATTACAAGAAAATTTGGAAAAAGAAGATCAAATTCTGGTTTCCCTGGCAGGATTAAAACAGGTATATGCATTGCTCTGACACTATTTCTTTGTGTCCCTCCTGCTGTGGGGAGGGACTCCCAGGGCATGTAGCACCATGATGTTAGAGCCAGCATCCCCCTAACCGTTATTTCTTCCCAGACAGAGCCCCTTCTGCATCTCCACCTCTTTATGCCCCCTGTTCCTTCTAACGATTATATCTGACTAGCTTGCGACCCACACTGGTTTTCCATTTTCCACACCTCTCCTTCCTCTTACCAAACCCATTCTATTTGTTCCTTACCCAAAGCTAGTGTGGGTAGACCAGCATCATATTCAGTCATTCATCCATGAATTCATGAATGTCTTTGGAGCACAAGTCATAATTAGTACCTACAGCAGGCCTTAGACCCTCAAGGACCACACTGACCCAAGCCTTGAAGATCTAAATGAAACATAAATGCCAGTGAAAAAGAGTATGCTGTTTCCAGATGCCTACCTATGCTATGAACAGTCCAGCTCAGGTGGAGCCACTTTAGTGAGCAAGCTGTGTAGTAGGGGTGGGTGTGGAGGCAAATTATGCTTCCTGTTTTAAGATAGTGTTAAGTATGTGACTCTCATATGTGACCCTGTGAGAACCTGGCTATTAAATGTCCTGACGTTTTTCTTGCCCACTGCTAAGCCAGCAGCTTTGATAAAATTAGATTTTTTCTCATTATTTATTTCTTATAGTAAAATACTAATATTCATACTATTAAAAATGATTGATGACAAGGCTAGTTTAAATGTCTGAGAGATTTAGCTAGCATCTGAAAGCAAACTCATCCATTTTATTCATTTATTTTCTTCTTCTTTGAACATAGATCAAAGACATTCTAAAAGGTTCCCTGCGTTTTAACCAGAGCCAGCTAGAGGCCGAAGAGAACGAACAGATCACGATCGCGGACAACCACTACTGCTCCAGCGGCCAGGGCCAGGGCCGAGGCCAGGGCCAGAGCGATCAAATGTCTGGGGTCATTAAACAGGTACAGAAGCTCTGATGCACATGTTACATTAACTCAAAGGGAGCACATTCACATAAGTTCCTCAAAGTTAAGAATCATATAAACCCTATCAAAGTTACTTCAGATTATCATGTGTGAAGTTCAGCTGTGGAGGTGCTGTGTAGAGCTGTGCAGCCTGTGCACTCTGTGCTGCAGGGGGTGCCATTCACAATGATACTGATGAGACAAGTGTCTCCTAGAGTCATGCAGTAAGTGCCCTACAAACTTGTATGCAGCAGTGTTGCCTGAACCTCCTGCCATGCCCATTCTGTGGGATGGGAGAGCTGGATCTCTGTCTTGGTTGTCAGTTGCCTCCAGTTGATGCCTCTTTTCCCCTTTAGGAAGTACTGTCTACACTTTCCTAATGCTATCTCAAGTGGATTTCACTTTGCTAGAACCTTTTTTGCCAAACTTACTTTCTTGCCTTCATGGGGAGGGACTTCTCATTAATGTCTGCCATCTGGGGCAGGGGTCTGTAAAGGCCTTCAGAGTAAGTATTTCAGGATTTGCAGGCAACATACGGTCATCTGTGTCACATATTCATTGTTTTTTTCTGTGTGTGTGTGTGTTTGTATCTTGTTTTTGCTTTATCACAACCCTTTAAAAATATATAAACCATGCTCAGCTTGGGGGCCATGCAAAAACAGGCCATAGGCTGGATTTGGCCATAGTGTGCTGACCCCTACTCTCAGATGTCGACATTGTATATCATTTATTTTATCACAGAACCACAGAATTTCCCAGCTACAAAGGATCATCCTACAGCTTCCTTATGTGCCTAGTCCTGCCTGCTCATTTGACCAGTGAGAAAATGAAGGTCAGAGAGACACACACAGGCTCCGAGGCCAGAGGCACTTAGCCTGCCAGGCATTATGTTTTCAGAAACCCTGCCCCAACCCAGTAAGCTTCAGTCCCACCATGCTGCCTTGCTGTCCATTATCCGATAAGACAAAGAGATTGTTCATTTCCCACCTATATTTTAAATTATTAATATTTTTTAAATCAGCTTACAAAGTTTCATCTTGGAAAATGAACATTAGCAAAATATTATCTAAGTCACTTTCTCAAAAACTAGCATTCAGACACTTGTAAATTATTTATTTTTTGTGTGATTTTAAAACAGCAAAATAACATTTGAGTGGGAATGTTTTTCAGTTTTAAGGGTGCTCTTCCAGAAGAGAGACTCCGTGTGTGACTTCCGCTTGAGGCCGTATGAAATGTTCATGGAGTGCTTTGGCTCTGCATTTGTAGCCACATGAATGCGACAGTGATACTGCCAGTTTAATTTCATTCGTTTCTTCACAGATTCTCCTTCCTTGCACAGATGTTTTATTTTTCAATAATCATTTACTTATTCAAATATTACTGAGTGTAGGCCCAGCCACAATGCATTTATAATTGAAAATTTTATTTAAAACCTTAGCATAATTTTTTAGTTGAGTGTGTCAGTTTGCTACAGAAAAAAGATATTTAAAATCACTCATGAATGTGTTAAATTTAAAACTTGGCCGGGCGCGGTGGCTCAAGCCTGTAATCCCAGCACTTTGGGAGGCCGAGACGGGCGGATCACGAGGTGAGGAGATCGAGACCATCCTGGCTAACACAGTGAAACCCCGTCTCTACTAAAAACACAAAAAACTAGCCGGGCGAGGTGGCGGGCGCCTGTAGTCCCCGCTACTCGGGAGGCTGAGGCAGGAGAATGGCGTAAACCCGGGAGGCAGAGCTTGCAGTGAGCTGAGATCCAGCCACTGCACTCCAGCCCGGGCGACAGAGCAAGACTCCGTCTCAAAAAAAAAAAAAAAAAAAAAATTTAAAACTTAATGGTTATACTTTGCAGTTGTCATCCCTGGTTTCTGTATTTGTAAGAACCTACCAATGACCACTGCTGCCCCGGTGGACCCCGCCATACATACCCAAGATAAGCTAGCCATGAGGTGTGTCTGTGTGAATCAAACTGCGCCCTTGTTCTGGCAGGGCCCCATCACGTGCAGCATCCAAGAGACACTGCACCTCTGCGTGTGCTTCTGAGACGCAGTCAGCCCTTCCTGGGGCTGAGACCCCCCACAAGTGAAAATAAAATGGCTTATCTTCTCTACCTCTTCTCTGCCATGGCCCTTCCCCATAGCTGTTAGCAGTTTATACAAAGCCAGTACTCCTGAAAAAGGTTTTACTGAAGAAGAGAGAAACGGAGAAGCAGTGCTCTCCTCTCTCCTTCAGGGAAATCTTGAGATTTCTTGAGAGAATTCCTGAATTCAAGCAAGCAATTCAGAAAGAAGCCAAGTGCATGGGGCCTTACACTGCAAAACCCAAGGATCTGGGCTAGGCTGATAAAGGCCCAGGGGGTCTACCAGGCATGAGATAGCTGCCAAGTACCCACCTTCTTCCTGCAGGAGCTAACTCATCAGTGCTTGGAGCTGGCTAGGTTTTCCTCCTCACTGCTTGTGGGAAGAGATACAGAGGGCTGTGGACAGGCTACACCCAGGAACATGCGTCCCAAGAGAGCCAAGTGGGAGTTCTGAAGGCTTCCAGGGCCTGCTGTGCCAGGAACTGGTTTTACTGTCCAAGACTATGGGATATATCCCCTGCTCTCATGAGCTCCCAGTTATGGAGGGCAAGGGCCTAGGGGAGCAGTGCTAGGCAGGTTCTTGACACATTGGAGATGTAAGCCCCACATGTTGGGTTTGTAATGGGTTGTGTCATAGCACATTCCTAACTTAGGGATGGGTTTTCGTTGCTTTCTTGGTTAATCAGTAAATAATGTCTAAAAAATAGTGCAGAAGGACCAGGCTCCCCTGCCTAGTGACACATGGCTCATGGTCCTCCTGCCGATGCCCTTCCTCAAAAGCAACTGTGAAAGTGTTCTTCCGTTGTGGGAATTCACATGCCCTGCTCCTCACTGTAAGGTTGGTGTGACATAGCTCATCGTGTTCTTTCTGGTTGGTTTGCAAATCTTACCTCCAGCTCTGAAAACAGCAGTCTTGTGAAATTGTATTCTATAGAGTGAGAAGAGCTACACGCTCTCCCTCCCTTCTCAGCATCTATCCTCACACATTCGTTTGGGAAGTATTTGATGAACTAACTCAAACCAACTACAGTGGAAGGCAGACTTTGTGGGACCCTGGGTCCATTAGTCAGCCAGCGCATCACTTGCCTTTTTGGTACTTGGGTCCCCTCTTTTAATCCGCATATTGTCTACTATTACAGCTACCAGCCACACAACTATTTAAATTTAAATGCACTAAATTTCAATAGAATTAAAAATTCAGTTCCTCAGTCACACTAGCCACTTTTCAAGTGTTTGGCATCCACCTGTGGCTAGGGGCTGCTGTACTGAGTAGTACACATAGAGAGCATTTCCATCATCATGGAAAATGTCTGTTGAACAGTGCTGGTCTATAGTTGGGCTCACCTGCTTCTACAACCATCCTAAACTCAAGCTGTGAAATGGGGTAGGACTGGGAAGATGGCAGACAGTGGGTAAGAGGGATATGTGTTGTGATGATCCTGGCTAGTTTTAGGCAGGACTGACAGGTTGAAGACTTTTCTAATTGTGTAAGACTTACCCATATCTGGTAAAAAGAGGGGATTGACCTAGGGATTTACAACACTTCTGTAAATGTTATAAATGGCACCAGATAGCAGTTAAGGCTGCTGGAGAAGTCCATAAAGAAGTCAGCTCTGCATCTAGAAAAAATTCTAGGTGGGAGTCCAGAAGAGTGGGGTCTTTTGTTGTGCCTTGTGAGATTGGCCAAGCTACCAGGTCTCTTATTTGGGCTTGCTTGCTTGATCTGTAATGCAAAGGGGCAAGGAGGGGGGTCAGTAAAAGAAAATGCCTGCTAAGGACCTGTCAGCTCTAACTTGCTTTGTCTGTGAAGGCAGCCTGTGACCTTCATCTAGGAACTGGGGGAAGCATGCCAAATACCTAGAGTAATGGTAGAAACTAGCTTTACTTTTAGTCATGGGCTTTGAAAAGTATTTCTCCACTTCAGAATCTTACTGACACCTTTACTGTAAGCTAAAGGAGAATAAGTGATCTCAGTATCTCTGAAGCAGAGGCACCACTCTAAAAACTAGGCCCTGCTAAACGTGCTCTTCTATTTTCAACCTAGGATAAGCTCCACCAAGTAGCATTCCAGCCCTGTGTTGTGGTGAGAGGTCAAGATTTTCACAGTTTACAGTGCAGGACAACTGTCCTATGAACAAAGTGTCTACACTCTGGAAGAAGTCAAACCCAGGGGCCTCTGTTGATTCCCCAGCAGCTTTCAGTGCACTCCCCAAAGGCAGCACGGCTCTTACCAGGTGCACCTTATATAGAGACAGTCATGGGGAAAAGATTTTAGTTCTTTTCCTCCAACTCAGAAAAAAGACAGTCCTTCTCTACCAAACAGCTCCAGTGTCATTTGAGATCACATCCCCTGCTACCAGACTACCGTGTGCTACGTTTTTCTTCGCTTGTGTAGGAGTTAATGTGTTGATAGAATGTTAGCAGCTTTAGAACCTGAGATGAAGAATCTCAAGGCCTGTTGCAGCTCTGTGATCTTAAAGGCCAATTTTGTTTATGTTCTCCAACTGAATATCCTAAAGGTTGGTGAATCATTAGAGGTGGAAGGTTCCCGAGCCATTATTTAGCCACTCGCCCCCTACATCACTGAGGAGGACGTGAGATTTAGAGAGGGGCCTGTCAGTCAGGGCTCAAGGCCAGATTTTCCTGAGAGCTGTTACTCATTCCCCTTCTTGGCTCTGCACACAGCCCACAGATGGCCGAGGCCATGCCAGTCTGGAGGCCCAAGGACTCAGGAGACACTTCCAGTCAGGGGTCTCCATATATCTCATTAGACTGGAGACCCCAGCACGAGACTCCACCCACACTGTGGGGAGGGTAGGCCGGCAGGGTGAGGGAGGCAAGTGTGGGCACTACATCACCTTACAGCACCACTGGGTGAGGCGTTCTTTCTGCTAAGCTGGCACTGGATGTCCTTGGTCAAACTATGGCTTTGCTAACCCAAAACCTTTACCTGTGTTCGTGGATGTTAACTTTATTAAGTTAAAAAATAAAAAGCTACTCATAATTGCTTAGAAAGAAAAGAAAATAATTGTTGAGTAAAGCAATTCTATCTCTATACTTTTTGCCATTATACTTTGCAATTGCCATTCTTGGTTTTCGCATTCATAGAACCTAGTGGTTACCACCATTGCTCCAGGAGACCCCTATGTGCATACCCAAGATGAGCTAGCAATGAGATCTATATGAGATGAAATACATTAGGCCTTCTGAAAGCTATCCTTCTAGCCAGTAATAAAATCACTCCAGATCTGGCAACTCACATTAGGGAGCCAGCAGCTGCCCATGTCATCTCACTGTATCATGACAACACATTAGGAGGAAGACACTGTCTTTATCCCTGTTTCACAGATGAAAGTTAAAGTTCAAGAAGGATGGGTGATTTGCATGGCAGTGTCCCACATGAGGCTGGTAGGGATTCTGCCTGCAACCTGTTGGCCAGCTCCTGAACCTGGCTCTCCCCAGCAGCACGGGCACTGCCTCCGTCTGAAGCTTGTCAAACAGGAGCTTTACTTTGTTCCCTCAGGGAAGCCAGCATTTGGCTTTGGAGGGGCTTACAAGATGCTGCTGGCACCGCACCGCTGGTAAATGCGTGGGCTTCGGGGCAGCAGGTCAAACACTGCGTCTTTCAAGATCGAATGTAGGCTGAGGTGGCCTAGCTTTCCACAGCGCGTCCCCCAGTTCACAGGGCCTTCCACTCAGTTCTTTGCCGGTTTCTTCTTTCATCCACCTGTACTTCTGACTGCACTTCACAGGCCTCTTCAGAAACGCCAGGGTGCACCGATAGAGGGAGTTCCGATGACTTCATCCTGATTTCCAAAGAAGATGATGGGAGCAGTGCCAGGGGCTTCTTCTCTGGCCAGGCCCAGCCTCTTCGCACCCTCAGAAGCTCCTCTGGGAAAAGCCAGGCCCCAGCCTGCTCCCCACTGGTGTTCTCAGATCCACTGATGGGCCCCGCCTCAGCTTCCTCCAGCAACCCCAGCTCCAGCCCTGATGACGACAGTAGCAAGGACTCTGGCTTCACCATTGTGAGTCCCCTGGACATCTGACCACAGTGCCCAGTCCTGCCCCACAGGGATCCAGCCACCGTTTAGTGGCCCCAAGGCCAGACTGAGGCTTGCCCAGTGGAGACCCTTCTGAAACCACTGCTTCCTTCCCGGCATGCATTTGGCATTGGTCCAGCCCTTTGAAACCCCTTAGAGAGAAGCATATATGGCCACAAAGCACACAGGCTTAGGTTTGCCAAATGCAGACAGGGCTTTCTGGGCCCTTACCTAACCCCTACCCAACTCTTGCTCTGAGTTAGAGCTGAGTTACATACCCAGTATCACACTCACAGTTAGAAAAGTAGAAACACTTTTCCTCTGTCCCCTTCCTCCCAGCCAAGAATGTGTGGCAACTCCATCAGTTATAGAGGAGAAATAGCTTTTGCCTATCTTCTATTCCTCAAAGCATCAGACATAGGAAAATTGGTTTATACCAAGAAAGCTTCCTCTGTGGAAATCTGTCTAAGCCTACTTTATTCCTGCATTGGGAAGCCATATCGCAGATCTAAATGCGATAGAATGAACTAGAACTAGTGGATTCCAGGGCTGGGGGGAAGAAAACAAACTCATTACTGACCTCTCAAAGTTATAATGATCTCTGCAAACAGGGTCTAAACTTAGGAATCATATTTAGGTGCGATGTAGCATCAGATTTTTTTGATGTATTAAAGAATGCATCTCCAATCCTTAGGCCATCAATGTCTCTCCTTAAACAATTGTATTTCACCTTTTAGAATCTTTCATAGTCAGAAAACAAGGTTACTATAAGCCAGTTTTTGCTGCACTGATTTCAAAAGATATAAGAATATTACTATCCTTCAGATGGAAAATGTGGCCTTGACTTTATGGGATAAACATCTTTCAGACAGTTTTCTAGTCAAGTTTCTCTGGTTTCAGAGCTGTATATATACCTGTCAACTGAGGAGTAAAGGGAAAAACCCAAGTTTGTTCCCACCCAAAGTCAGAATTCCTCATTGGCCTTAAAGTAGCAGTCACAAGAGTTAGAGAATTGGACCTAGAGTCCCTTCTGTGGGGAATAAGGATACCTAGAGAACATTCCAGATGCCAAGAGGATGCAGGATTTCTGCACAACCTCTTCCCTTCTTGGAAGTCAAATGTAGGAACTGCAGGGCCTGTGCTCATCTGTGAACCTGCATCCTGGGCACCACTGCCAGGACCGGGTCTGACATGCCAGTGCCTTCCTGGGCTACACAGAGACTCTCCCCCTTGTCAGTCAGCACCTTAGGAAACCATCATGGGCACAGAGCATCACATGAGTTGTTTCTCTCTTTAAAGAAGATTCCCGGCCGGGCGCGGTGGCTCAAGCCTGTAATCCCAGCACTTTGGGAGGCCGAGACGGGCGGATCACGAGGTCAGGAGTTCGAGACCATCCTGGCTAACATGGTGAAACCCCGTCTCTACTAAAAAATACAAAAAACTAGCCGGGCGAGGTGGCGGGCGCCTGTAGTCCCGGCTACTCGGGAGGCTGAGGCAGGAGAATGGCGTAAAAACCCGGGAGGCGGAGCTTGCAGTGAGCTGAGATCTGGCCACTGCACTCCAGCCTGGGCGACACAGCGAGACTCTCAAAAAAAAAAAAAAAAAAAAAAAGATTCCCTGGAAAGGATGCTTTTCCTCTCCTTTGCCTGTGCAGGAATTCTAACAGGAATAGGTGAGGATGGCAGAGGGACACAGTGCCTGTCTCGCCTCCATCAGGGAGAGCAGCCATACCAGGGATGACTGACTCTTTGAGCCTGTCCTCAGAGGATGGCGAGGCAGCTGGGCAGTGGAGGCCTTCATGGTAACAAATGAAAGCTCAGTATAGAGGAGCAGACACTGTCTACGTCCCTCCCACTGCTCACCTTATATATCTGTGTAGACAAATGTGATAATGACATGATTTCCCACCTGCCCTCCAAGAAAATGGTGACTCACTCTCAAGTCAGCTACTGGACAGAGGAGGGTTCTCATTAGCTCTGCAGTTTGCTCTTAAACTCTAGCAGGGAAATCTCCTCTTACCACATCAGCATGTAAGGTGAATAATAACTGTGGTTTTGCCAGACAACAGGTTGTCTGGCCTTCAACCACTGGGCAGTTGCCTGGCAGATGCACACAGTAGCTCCCTGGCTTCTGGCTCCGAGTGTTCCTCTCAGCACCTCTGAGTAAGTTGCTGCCAAGCACATATCCTTATGACAACACTTTGTAAGCCACGGGGCCCCCATACAGTGAGTGACCTTGCAGCTGTGCAGGGTTGCCATTGGTCACTTTCGCACCTTGGGAAGGTGTCAGTGTTTTCAGTTCTCAGTAAGAGGTGTAGAACTGTTCCCGCCAGGGCTCTGGGATCAACTGGAAAGGACCACAAAGCTAGTCATCCCTGGGCAGCTGGGCCACTGTCACCTGCTGACCTCTAGTATTTCCTTTGCCCCAGAGCTAGAGTCATGATAGCTGAGGTCTCTGGCCCTGCAAGAGTCACTAGGCACCCACCATGCCAATAAGGCTCTCCGCTGGCTCCCTGCAGTTGGCTGGGTGTTTAATAGTCACTGACAACTCCCAGCCCTGCTGCACACTAGAGGCAGGTCCTCTTGGTCCTCTCTATCCTGTACTTCTATGTTGGTGGCATGTGAGGACCAATGGGGTCACTCAGAGATAGTGCTTCTGTGTCCCCCAACAAGCTCACGCCCTCTTTGGAGGAGAGAGACATACAAGAACAGTGGGTCATGGGCAGTACCAGCCTCAAATTCCCACAGGCTCATACTCAGACAATTGTATTACTGCCTTTTGTTTTTTGTTTTTTGTTTTTTTATTCTTCATAGTTGAGTATTATTTGCAATTTTATTAGTTACAGTGCTATTAAAGAATATGTGTTCCTTTTATTATTTTATCAGATACTTATGTTTACTTGCACATTTTTAAAATCTTGAATATATTGTGTTTTGTTAACAAATGTAGTAATCAGTGGAACTCTTATGTTTTGATTATTAGCAGTTAAATACATTTTGTATACATGAAGCTTAGATTAATTCCCATCGTCATCTCCTTTTTTTATATATGCCCCTATGTGTTGTATGCATTCCTCTTTGATCAGATTGGAATCTGAGCTAAAATTTAGCTTTGTACATTACGTGTGAGAGTTACAGACTAGCAAGTCTAATTGCTTTGCCTTCCCTTGAGTGTATGCCACAGGGTCAGATAACACGTTAAACATTTAGTTACACTGGATTACTCTGCCAAAGCTGACCTCCTGCTGATGTTCAGAGGTAACTGCAATCTGGAAAGAGATAATATCACTGCAGAAGGAATGTGACTCTAAAAATAAACCAGGACCTCCCTGTGATTTGCCTTGTCTGCAGATGACCGATGGACTCTCGTGTGTCAGCCCTGGGCTTGCTAAGGAAGCTGCCTCAGGGAGTTGGGGGTCAGTTGCCACTCTCAACGGGAATGCCTCCTCTCCTTGTCAGAGATGCTGAACAAATAGCAAGCTCTGTGGCAGTCATGCTGGCCTCCTAATAATAACCTGTCAGAGTTGATGCACATGATTTTTGTGTTTTTTTTTTTTTTTTAAGAAACTGCCCCAGGGGTTCATTATAGAACAGGAGTGTGTATGGAGGACTTAGGTCCCCACATAGAGTGGCCGCTCTGTGGCGGCTACAACCAATTCCATCCCTCCTTTCCTGCGGACACATACCTGGCCCCTGGCCCTGCCCTGTGTGTCCAGAGGAGGGGCACTGGGGAGGCTGTGGAGCAGAGAGAAGAGGCTGGATGCATTGAAGATGGCACCTGGCAAGCCAGGCTTCCTTCTCAAAGGCCAGACTGCTTTCTCAGTGTTACTTTCTAAAGCTCTCTTTTTATGGTGTTATAAAGATGTATAAAGTTGGTATAAACAGGCTTGAGACCACTTTGATGTAAAAGCTGTCATAGCAGTTTTTCTTACAGTGGCACAATTCATTTGATTGATGGAATATTCAGTGATGCCATTTATGTCCTATCGCTTTTTTCTCATCCATCTTTATGCTATAACTCATATTGATTTAAGAAATGATTTCTCCTTTTGGCAAAGCGATCCCATTCAATATGGTTATAATAAAAGACTAATGTGAAACTGAGACTGTAGCTTGACTTATTTCAGGCCATGCATGGGGGCACAAGGTGCTGATCAGGCCCGGCCCAGAGGAGTCCCTCGGAATGCATCGTCAGGCGGGGAGTGGACAATGGAACCGTGTACCAGCCCCAGCACTGTGGTCCAGCCTCACTGCACCACAGGGCAGGTCCTAGGCCTGGCCCAGGGCTCACACCCAACTCTGACATACCCTTCCTAACTTGGGCTAGTTTCTTAACTTCTGGGGCCTCAGTTTCCTTATCCGCAAACAGAAGATAATAGTAGTCACCTAGCTCATAGGGTGTGGTGGGGATTGAAGAGGATAACAATTGAAAGTACTTAGCACAGAGCCTGACATACCATGAAATGCCTGACAGTTTCAAAGATAATGCTTAATTCTGGAAGAGCCCCTGGAGGTCATGTAGTCCTACCCCGACCATTGACAGCCAGGACCTCAGAGGCTGCTGGGAGGCCCAGGTCCCACCCTGAGGCAGCCCTGCTCAGCCCACTGGTCCAAGAGACCATTTTAGGGGCGGCCCCAGTGGCTTGCTATCCATCAGCACCAGGTTTGCCCTGGTAGCCACACTTCCACCAATTCAATGTGAGATTGGTGAAAAGGCCTCAGGTGAAGATGGGGGAAAGATGAGTATACTCTTAAGTGACAAACTAGGAGGGATGGGGAGGGGGATCTCTATAGCTTAGGCAGAGCCCTGATGCCAATGGCAGCTTAGAATTTGCACCTGGGCCCATCTCTAGCCTGGGCCTCTGTCCCCAGACCAGCTAGCAGGTAGCTTTTCCACGTGTGGGCACAGCCCCTCCCCACAGGTTCTACCATCAAAAGGTTGGAGGGCCTAGTACACTCCTCAGATGGCTCATGCTAGTGAGGGTGACCCCAGCTTCCTCAGACCAGTGACAGCCACACATGCACTGGCATCCCCCACTGGCCTCCAGGAGTGCCTCACCCATGTCCCTTGGGCGTGACCACTTCATTGCTTCTGGAACCTCCTCCTGCCCTCCCTGCACCTCTCCACCTGTGGTTGGGCTCCTGGCCCTAGAAAGTCGCTAGCAAGTGTGAGGGAATGCCATCTCCTGGGAGCAGCTCTCAGCCACAGGCTGAGGAGTCGGGGCATAATGTCCCAGGCCCCTAGCCCCTGGGTGGAGCCACCCTGGTGTGAGTGCTGGTGGCTTCCCAGGGCTTCCCTGCAGGGTTAAGCTCCACTTGCTCTCAAATCTTCTCTCAGGGTCAGCTTCTTGGAGAACTCAAGCTAAGACACCCTAGACACCCTTCTTCCTGAGCCCCTTCTCCAGGCAGAAGCGTTGTCCTTGGCTCACCCCCTACCAAGGCCGGGGTGAGTGGGAAGAGTGCGCAGGTTGTCAGGTGGGCCCAGAGTCCTCACAGATGAGGGCTGTGCTGAGAGGCTGCTGCCCCGGTGTCTGTGGTTCTTCAAGGGCCAGGGCACGCCCTCTGTGTGAGTTCCTGCTCCCAGGCCTGCCGAATTGCCCCCTCTCACAAGTGAACATTACCCACAGCTGGTCAGGCCCTGCTGGAAGAGCTACTGAGGCTCCTTTTCATTTAGTAGTTTGCCTCTGC